TGAGTATCTTGTCTACTTTTCACCACAAGAAAGAGCGCCCTTTTTTCCCCAAAGGTTTCTCACTGTAACTTCCCCTTATTCACAAAAATGTTTTCTTTTTTTTTTTTTTTTTGGTTTAGCTGGACAGTCAAATGTGAAATTCAGGGTTAGGTTTTGGTCTCAAGATTTGTTCAGCGCATGCACCATTTTTTGCCATCTTTGCAGAAGGTTTTTTTTTGTGGAGCAAGAGGGATTTTTGACTTCACAGTATGTATATACACATATATCTAACATAGGGATCTAAAGATCACATTTCTCAAATTTTAGAAAAAGGTATTACATAGAACTTTGTGGGTATTACATTGATTAATTTTTACTTGAGGTTGGGCAGCAGTGAGCTGATCAAGAAATTGGCCATGTGATGGGTGGTGTGTTGATGGATAAAAGTGTTTTTGATTGTAATATGGAGGTCACTGTCAGCAAACAATGTTTGAAAACATTGGTCTCAGCAGTGGTCAACTCAGACAGATTTTTGTGCCCAGGCCTGTATTCAGAGTCTGTAGTCCCAAGCCAAACACCAGCCTCTTATGAGCAAACGTAATGCAAGCCCCTAGCTTGTAACAAGTCCCACACTTCCAAGCTCTGTGGGCCTGGTGGCTGGCTAGTGCCACTTGCAAAGCAAGCCTCTGAAGGAGGGACTTGTTCCTGAGAGTATCCACATTGGTGTGGGTGTAGCTTGAGGAGTAGCGGATTAGCAGCTAATCTGGGCTGTCAACTGCATGGGTGTAGTGCAAACCTGGGAGTAGCCAGGGGTTGGGTGTGTGTTGAGTATGCAAATAGCCCTTACTCCCAGCATTAGCAAAGAGTAGCTTTACTCCTGCTTAGCTCAAATCCTACTCCAGGAGTAGTAATTCAAATTGAGCCTGATGTGGTTGAGGGATCAGAGTATGTAGCTTGGGTGAGTTATGCTAATCCAACCTTAAACCACCAACTGTAACACATACATGCTTGCATCTCACTATCAAATAGTTTTGGTGTAGGGAATCTTGGATCAGCTTCCCTGAATGTAGATCTACTGTTTTTTGTGGTACAGTGGACGACTTCCCATCGATATCTGCGGGTCTCCCAGAGTCAATCTAGAGCCTTGAAAATCGAATTTCTCTGCAAGAATCAAGAATTTTTGGGTCTAGATTGACTTCTGCAAGGGTTCCAGATCTGATGGGAAGTCCTCCAGTTACCATGGTGAAATTTAAACATGCAGAAGTTCTCCCCATCCAATTTTTGAACCATGTTCCTAAAAATTGGATGAGTGTAAATTTTTTAAAAACCCTAGAAAAATAAATAATAAAAAATCCCCAAATTGAAGTTGAAATGTCCAGGTCAGTAAACTGGTAGTTGTAAAACACACACCTGATGTGAGCTTCAAAACTCCCTCTAAAAATTCTGATTCAAGTAGGTTATGATTTTTTTTTCTTGAAGAGATATTAGTTCCCCATCTTGGGCACATCCAGCCCAAGCTTTACTTGGGCAAAATTGAACTGATGAGTTTCTATTCTTAATGGTGCAAAGCACAGCCAAAGTACATGATTGCAACACACAAGGATGTTTGTTTTGGGCACAATCCTCTCCTGCACTCTGTGTGGTTAAAGGAGACACTGAGCAAGTTAGCACCCACAGCAAAAAATTCTAGCTTCCCCAGCCTCTCTGTTAACCACACAAAGGGTGGGAGAGTCTTGTGCCTAAAACAAACATTCAAAATTTTAGAGTGTATATTGCATAGAAAATCTTATAAAATTGCTTTCTTAACTTTCATAGGGAAAAGATCTGGGTCCTGGGACAACATGCCCAAGTTGCTAAAGGAAATTTTGATCAAGAAATTACCCAAAAAATTTGTAAATTTACATTCTAGAGAAACTTTATCATAATAAAAGGTTCCACTCAAATTTGTGTTTTTTGCTTATGTAATAGATTCTGCTCAAGGCTTAGGGCTTAACTTTGATTCTTTGATTCTTTGGTTTTTTTTTCAATTTTTCAAGTTTTTTCCAGAGGATCTTACTCATCTGAATTTCTGGAAAAATCTCTCAAAATTTGATGAGAAGATTGGCAAAATTGGATGACTTCCTGTTGAGG